AGGAGGAGGAGGAGGAGGAGGAGGAGGAGGACGGGAGGTCGTTGTCGTCGTCGTCATCGTCCTCGTCCTCGCGTCGTTGTCGTCGTTGTCGTCGTCCGCAGGGAGGGGAGCGGCCCGCGGGGTGCCGCCGCGGGCGCTGCCCAGGCCGTCGCGGAGGCCCTGGCCATCATCACCGAGGACGCGCTGGGGGGGCGGGTGTGGGGTGGTGGTGGTGGTCGTTGTGTGTGAAGACCGCCCACCTCCCCTTTCTATCCATCTTTCCTGCAATCCTCTTGGCTCAGGTACTGGACATCTTGAGTAGCGCCCGCTGTCCGACGGGCGCGAGGATAAGAGATCTTCATCTTTTCTCATCATCGTCCTTGATATACGGACCACACAGTAGGTTCGAATCAGCGGTTGTTAACCTCCGTTCGCAGTCCTGGACTATCTAGCGATTCAGAACAACGGGGTCGTTTGTGCTGGCACTGGCGCGTACGCTGCTGGCGTGAGCTCGCGCGTGAGCGTCCTTGTCTCCAGTGCGGCGTGCCGAGCCGGCGCCCCGCGGGAGCCGCTGCGGAAGGTCGCTGTGCCATCTCGTGTGGGAGATCCCTTCTCGATCGTCGCGCAGTCGGCTTGCAGGGATCAAGCCGGATAAGTCTGGGCAGATGCAGGCACAGCAGGCGAATTCGGGTAAGTTTGGGTGGGTCCCAGCAACTCTGGAGCAGCTCGTGGCCGTTTCGGCGCGAGTCGAGGGACGGCAGAAGTCGTGGAACCGCTAACGGGAGCGCTAACAAATATAAAGGCGCGTGGATGAACGGGGGGTCGTGCGCCGTCGCCAAACGGGGCGACGCTGGCTTCATGTGTCGGGGGGTCTCATTTTCTGGTGCGCATCGACATGTATCGAGTCATCACGCAAATCGAGCTCACGCAGCCGCGGACACGCGCGGGCAATAAACATGAGATCGTCGACCATCGATTCGCCGCGAAATCGATCTCGCGCTGTCGTGGATACCGGAGGCGAATCGGCTCGCCGAAAAAAGCGCCGACAGTCGGGATTGATTGGATAGGACACGCGATAGGACGCAAGACCCTTCCGAGGGCCACATTGCCATAGGAATGTCGGAGGCACGGGTCGCGACACACAGGGCACAAGGGTACCCTTGATTGGCAGGGTCGACCTACTAATCGACCTCGACTGTACGCGAATGGCGCCGCGTGCACTCGGCATTTTCCGGGATTGAAGTCGTACTGTTCGGTAATCGGTTCGAATAGTTTCGGTAGCGTCGGCTCATGTCTTCGCGAGCGGCGAGCACCTCGGCAAGAGCAGGAAAGGATTGCTGTCGGACGCCCGCCGAGGCGGCAGCAAATGTTTCTGACGAGCGATCAACTGCGCGATCACAAGCACGCGGGCGTCGGCGAGAGCGAGCATCGATCAGGCGCCCTTCGCGCCAGATCCACGGATCACTAGTCCATGTGAGCGTGCGCCCGAGAGGAGGGGGGCCTCGACGACGAAAAATTGGGGCGGGGGGCACCGAAGCAGAGGCAGGGAGGGGGGCCTGCTGCGGGGGAGTCGGGAGGGAGGGGGGGCACGAGGAGGGACACCAGCAGGAACGCACAGACCTTCGGGGGCCCCGTGCGGGCTCCTTGGGATCGGCGCTGGAGCCTCCCTGGCAGCGCCTCTCTCCCCGCCCAAGTGTCGCGCTCCGCGCGCCCCCCGTGATAGGGGGATTCGGCGACGGTCCGGCAGATCGGCGCGGGCCCCCGAGAGTGTACTTCCCATGTTGCAGTGGAGGCCCCTGCCACCAAGCATCCTGCCTGCCCCCTCGGTGCCCTGGGCTTCTCGGGTGTCGATGTTTTTTTTGTTGCTCCTCCTTTCTCTGTGTCTGCCGTGGAAAGCGAGACGCTCCCGCATCAAAAATCCATGGACCTCCTGGTGTCTCGGGGCTGGGCTTCTTGTGGAGGGCTTCCTGTGGGCGAGCTCCCGCTGGAGAGCACTTTCCCGAACCGTGCTTTGCCCAGGAAGTTTCTCTTGGCTGTCTTGTGGAGAGCCGAGGGGTGCCCGGGTTACCTGGGCTTGCTTCCTTACTGTGGCCTTCTCCGGGGGCTGCTTGGGCTGGTTTCCCTCCTGCATTCCTCTCGGGGTCGCTTGGGCTTGCTTCCTTGCTGCATTCCTCGGGTTGCTTTGGCTTGCCTCTTTGCTGCTTACCCCCGGGTTGTCGGGTCTTGCTTTTCCGCCCTGCATCCCCCAGGCCGCTTGGTTTTGTCTCCAAGCAGTGCCACGCAACGCCAAGCAACGCCGAGCAATGCACCCATGCAGTGCCAAGCAATGCGCCCATACAAGAGGGCAAGTTTCTCTAATAGGGGGTCGCGCCGAGTTTTTTTTTTTTTTTGTTTGTTGTTTTTTATTCCGGCGGAGGGGGGCGGATGAGCAGGGAGGACGAGGAGGGACGAGCAGAGATCCACGCCCCGCGATTCTTGAGGACGTTCTTTGCGCTCAAGGCTGCGGGTCTCGCTCAGGGATCGCGCGTCTCGCCCCCTCAGGAGATAGCTCGAGCCACCGCGGCTCGAGCCCACAGGCAGCGCCCGCCGGGCTGGGCCCGACCCACCCGGCGCCCCCGCGGGTCTGGACTCCCCAGAGGGTGAAAGAGGGGGTCTGCAACAGGGGGTCTTCAATGGGGGCTGAATGGCCCATGTATGCTCAATGTATCGCTCATGTATGTGATCGGGTACGATTGGCATCCAATGCTGGCGGTCATTGGTGGCCAGTCATTCGTGCCCGCGCGTTGCCCGCGCGGGCGCACGCGCCGTCCATCCATTATCGTTCATGCGTGCGGGCGTTCTTGCATATTGCGCGTGGGTCGGCGAAGTGGAGTGCAAGTGTGTCTTGATTGTGCGGTTGATGATCGCGTATGTTCCCAAACGATGACTTCTCGACCCCCAAGACAGATTTGGAATGGGCCCCGCGATTCTTCCAAAATGTGAATTCACATTTTCCTTTTTCCCAAAATGTGAATTCACATTTTCCTTTTTCCCAAAATGTGAATTCACATTCTGGCCCCTTCATAAAGAATCCTACACAAAATTCCAAAATGTGAATTCACATTTTCCTTTTTCCCAAAATGTGAATTCACATTTTCCTTTTTCCCAAAATGTGAATTCACATTTTGCTTTTCCCCACAATGTGAATTCACATTTTGCCCTGGCCTTCAAGATCCCCCAAACTGAGGCGCAGTGTTCCGCATGCCAGATTGGCTGGGCAGATTTCGACACTCACCCGACCGCTTTCGTGTGTTCCAGCCTGTTCTTGTTGCGCCCTTAGCGCACGTTGCCCTCGTCGCCTTTCCCGAGCCCCCCGCCCCCTTGCTTCCTTTCCCCTCAAGTCTCGCGCGCGGGTGCAGGCGGGGGGCTTCAATTAGTTCCCCCGCCGAAATCAGCAATCGAGGATGCATCGCCCATTCATGACTTTAAAAAACATCATTGCCGGGACCCTGCGCCCGACCCCCACTTTCACCCTCCCTCGGGGTCCTTGGTTGTCAGTATGTTTCCAGAGGGATGCGGGCGCTGCCGCTGGGGCCTTCGGTGGGGCTCCCTCTGGGGCCACGAAGCGTGTGAGGGGTGCACCGAAATTGGGTGCAGAGCTGCATGCGGGCGCTGCCACTGGGGCCGTAGGTGGAGCTCCCTGGCGTGCCACGAAACGTGTGAGGGTTGCGCCGAAATGCAGGGTTGAACCCACCAGGTCTCCTGTTGGATCCAGACCAGCCTGGCTGGTTACTCAGAGGAGCATGGAGTGAGGGCGCTCTTGCTGCTGCTCCTCCCGTTTCCGCCTCCGCCTACTCCTCCGTCTCCGCCTCCGGCTCCTCCTCCATCTCCGCTTTCGCCCCCGCCTCGACCTCCACGTCCTGCTCCCATTCACGCCTTCTCCTACCGCCTCCCCCCTTCCTTACCCTCACCTCCATCGCTGCCCCTGGCGTTGATGACCCCCCCCCCGCTCGTGCGGCCGCCGATCAGGCACAGTGCCGCCCTGCCCCACTACAAAAACAGTGCAAAGGGCACGCTGAGGCAACCACTGGGCCACGTGATGGCACCTGATCACCCCCAGTTCCACCTCCATCCACCTGCTTCCGCCTCTCCGCCTCCTCCCAGGGCTGCTCGCGGTCCGACTCGATCCGATCCGATCTCCAAATTTCGATTCCCATCTCTATCCGATCTGGTCCGATCCGACACGAACCTCTTGCATCTCTGGTCTGCAGGGAACCCCTTGCATCTCTGGACTGCAGGGTCCAGGCCAGACCCGCGATCCCAGGCGATCCGCGACGATTCAGGCGACGATTCAGGCGCCATCCGACCCGTTTCCGATCCGATCCGATCTCGTTCGGCCACGCGCAGGGGGAGGAGGAGGAGGAGGAGGAGGAGGAGGAGGAGGAGGAGGAGGAGGAGGGAGGAGGAGGAGGAGGAGGAGGAGGAGGAGAGGAGGAGGAGGAGGAGGAGGAGGAGGAGGAGAAGGAGCAGGAGGAGGAGGAGGAGGAGGAGGAGGAGGAGGAGGAGGAGGAGGAGGAGGATGAGGAGGAAGAGGAGGTGGGGGGGGGGGTCATCAGGGGGAGGGGTGAAGGCTGCTTAGCAGCACCCCTGCTCCTTGGTGCGCTTCTGGCCCAGCCTGGGCTCCCCGCAGCGACGGAGCTCACCCGGGCCGAGGGCAGCGGCGGCGTCGGCGGCAGCCCTGGTTAGGCGAGGGAGGCCTGCACTCGTATTTGATATGTATGTATGTAAAGAATATGGATGTATGTATATGTATATACAGAGCTACTTTTTTTGAGTTTCGTTTGACAAGTTTGGCTATTTCGTCAAGGGGGGGGGAACTCTGGGACGCGCCCCCAGGGGGCTATTCGGGCGCACCCCTGTCGAGGATGGGCGCCACCCCTTGTCGTACATCCCAGGGTTGGGCCCCGGATCCGCCTTCCTGTGCGAGCTTCAGTGCGGGGCCGGCAGCAGCGTCGGTGTGCAGAGTTTGTGGCTCCTCAGCGTGCTCTGCCTGCGCGCTGCCCCGATAAGCGAGGTGAGCACCGGCGGCGCCTGCCAGGCTCAGGGTGCGTGCCCCCGGCAGCAAGCCGGGGGGGGGCTCGCTCTGGCCACGACGGCGCGCCCCGGCAGGGTCCCTCCCGTGGCAACAAGACGACGCGCAGGGCAGCAGGGGAGGAGAAACTGCAAGAGTAGGAGGAAGACGACCAACAGGGGAAGGGGCGGCGGGGAACGGGGATGAACAGGGCAATCGAAGAAGGACAGACGCCGCAAACATAAACTCTTGGCGCTCCGCGCGGGTTTCTTGGATCCGCGCCCGGCCCCCCTGGCGGCGCCTCCGTGCCGCCCTTGGCGCGCTCCGCTCTAGCGCAGATCCAACAGACCCGCGTGGAGCGCCAACAGTTTCTCCTAGGCAAGGAGCACCGGCAGGTGCGGCTGGATGAGGATGGGGGACGAGTGAGGAGACGCGAGGAGTGTGAGAAGCACGAGAAGGGAGAGGGAAGGAGACGGGAGGGACAACCGAGAAGGGAGGTGGCGGCCGTGTCCTGGTCTCCCCCACAGTACATATGCAGCCCCAGCACTCGAGGCTGGACGCGCGGTGCTCAGCCCTGGAGGTGCGGTGCGGTGCGAATGGGTCAACGCAGAGAGGGAGATGGCCTGCAGGAGAAGGAGGAGGAGGAGGAGGAGGAGGAGGAGGAGGAGGAGGAGGAGCAGGAGGAGGGAACACGTTGGATGTCGATGATGCTGTGCTGTCTGTTGTCGGCGCAGGAGTTGGAGGTGGGGTGGAAGGAGGCGTCTCAGGAGGGGGACAACCACGCACAGGCACGATTCATCGGCGACTCCCAGGATACAATGGGGAAAACATGGAAGTGGGGGGGGGGGAAGACGACAGCACAGAAGACATAGTAACAACATCTGGGGAATCCTGAGATTTGTGTCCGTTTGGTTGTGTGCCTCTGGGCCCCTCTGGAACGGGACACGAAGGCCCTCGCGGTGCGGGATGCCCGGGAGAGAGCGGACGCCCGGGTCGGAAGGACGACAACCGCGAGCACCTGATGGCGACCATCGCGTTCATCCAGGACAGCCTAGCCGTCCTCCTCCTTCTCCTTCTTCCTCTCCTCCTCCTCCTCCTCCTCCTCCTCCTCCTCCTCCTCGTCCTTCTCCTCCTCCTCCTCCTCCTTTCTTCCTTCTCCTCCTCCTCCTCCCCTCCTCCTTCCTCTCCTCCTCATCCTTCACCTCCTTCTCCTCCTCCTCCTCCTCCTCATCTTTCTTCCTTCCTTCTCCTCCTCCTCCTCCTCCTCCTCCTCCCTCCTCCTTCCTCCTTCTTCCTTCTTCCTCTCCTCCTCCTCTTTCTTCCTCGCCTCCTCCTCCTCCTCCTTGTTCCTCTCCTCCTTCTCCTCCTCCTCCTCCTCCTTCGTCCTCTCCTCCTCCTCCTTCTTCCTCTCCTCCTCCTCCTCCTCCTCCTCCTCCTCCTCCTCCTCCTCCTCCTTCGTCTTCCTCCTGGCCGCTCGAGTGCCGCAGCGCCCTGAGACTGAAACTCCGGGAGCTCTTCTGATGATCATAGTGCCGTTTCCTCCTCCTCCTCCTCCTCCTCTTTATGCACGTTGTTGTTCATTTCCGCATTCGTTTTCCAGCCCTCCGCGCTGCTCCAGGCAGTTGGCGCCCGCTGGCGTGCGGTCCCCAGGCGCGGTCCCGCGCGGGCAGAGTTGAGAACGCTCGGGAGGAGCGCGTTGCCTGCCCCCCTGCCCCTCCCCCTCCGTCCTCCCCCCCCTCCTGCCTCCGCCTCGCCCCCCCCCCCCCCCCTCCGACACGTGCTGCCGCTCTGTCGATCGCAGCCGGCAAGTCTCTCCGCGGCCCCGGAGGCCCCGAGCGCTCGACTCGAGCGTGCAGTCGCCCTCCTCCCCTCCCTTCCTCCGTCCTCCTCCGTCCTCCGCCTCCCTCCGCCTCGCCTCCCTCCCTCCGACTCGTGGGGTGCCGACCTGTCGATCGTACCCGGCAGGTCTTCCTGCGGCCGTGGAGGTCCCTCCATATGAACGTGCAGTCGCCCTCCTCCCCTCTCGTCCTCCGTCCTTCGCCTCCCTCCGCCTCGTCCCCTTCCTTCCGACTCGTGGTGCCGCTCTGTCGATCGCAGCCGGCAGGTCTCTCCGCGGCCGTGGAGACCCCGAGCAATACGCGAGCGTGCGGTCGCCCTCCTCCCCGCCCTGCCTCCGTCCTCTGCCTCCCTCCGCCTCTTTTCCTCGCCCGTCCCTCTCCTGGGGTAGCGGCGCGGCCTCTCGTTTGCCGCCTCTGCTTCTCCAGCACTGAGGGCGCGGACGGAGTGGTGGTCATCACGTGCGGTGACCTACTTTTCAAATACTTGAACTCATGCTCTTCCTTGTCGAGGCTACGGGCTCCACGCCATGCCCTCATCGACACGGGCGGGCTCTCCAGCGGAGCTCGCACGGCTCGCGCGCTCGTTCGTTCCTCCACTCCTCCTGTAATGTCAGATCCTGGTGTGAAGCTCATCGCGGAACGTCTAGGTCAGTTTTTCTTTGGCTTTGCTGACGACGAACTGGCGATCTGAAACAGCTTCTCTCTAGCCTCTCTGCACGCAGGTGTCCTGTGCTGTGTATGGCTTTCAGACCCTGGGTGCCTTGCTTCGGAGACAAAGGTTTTGTGTTCTCAGAAAGCGGAGCGGTGCGGTGCACGAGCTTCTCTGCGACGCCGACTCGGCGATGTGGTCTTTCATCTTCCAGTGATGTTTGAAAGGATCGCTGCAGATGCTGCTGCCGCTGGGACGTGTGCGCTCTTACTCTTCCTTCCTATCAGGGTCCAAAGGGCGATCCGATCGATCCGATTCGGTACCGGTTTTGGCAGGCTCGACCCGACTCTATCCCGATTGTCCGACGGGTTGATGCGGGCCGACGGTCGTGCGTCGCTGTTGTGCATCTTCGGTATTTGCGCGGCCGACCTGGCTCGATTTCGACCCCGTGCCGATGCACGTTTCCCGTCGAGGCGATTTCCCGTCGAGGCGATTTCCCGTCGAGGCGATTTCCCGACGAGGCGATTTCCCGTCGAGGCGATTTCCCGATTCCCGTCGAGGCGATTCCCGTCGAGGCGATTTCCCGATGCCCTGCCGACCGATCCTGCCAAGTCTCGGGGGCAACGATGCGGGGAGAGAGGCTCCGCGGGGGGGAGGCGTCGACCCGCAGTCGCAACATCCATCTCCGATCGGAGTCCGACAGCTCGCCCCGCCCAGGAGCGTGTGCGGATTCGCCATCGGGGGCCCATCGCCGATCGGTCGGCGATGTACGGCGATGTACTCCTTGGGCGATGCTTAAGAAAACCTAAGTTTTCGTCCAGAGTCTCGATTATTCTTAATTTTTCAATGTACATTCCAAGATTTTGATAGAAGTTCTGGGTTACATTCAATTTCTGAGACTATGAATTTCTTAACCCATGATTTCTTAAGCATTTCGCAGGGTGTATCGCCGATTCCAGGTCGACGTTCCCTTTCTCTGAGCTGGTCCCCTCCTGTCGTTCCCCTATCAGCGCCACTTCTTCGGTGGCAAACCATGGGAGCCTTGCCAGCCCTCGAAATTCCATCCGCAGAGTGCGCCAGCGTCTGGTGATCGATGAGAGAGCGCAAGATGGCACGGGGGGTCCCCGGAGTTGGCACCGAACCCTGAGCTGGCCCCCCTGTCGTTCCCCCTCGCCACCACTCCTCCTCCTCCTCCTCCTCCTCCTCCTCCTTCGGCCTTCCGCAGGGTGGCTTGGGACTGACCCCTCCCCCCAGTCTGCTTGCGCGACTGGCAGGAGCAGATCGCCGAAGCACCGGCCCAGACCCAGACCCCCCCCCGCCCCCACCCTTCGGCCACGCGTCGACCACCCCCAGTCACGCGCAGAGGGGGCTGGGAGGAGGCGGGAGGGCTTCTTAGAAGCGCCCCTGCTTCTCGGAAGGCCCGGCCTCATCTACAGATGTGAGGCCGGCGCCTTCTGAGAGGCAGCCCCTTTCTAAGAAGCCTCTCCCCCCTCCCTCCACTCCCTGGTGCGCGCCGCCAACACCCCCTCGCCACCACGTAGACCATCGACGCGCTCCGTCGCCGACTCAGGAGGGGGGATGAGGAGGAGGAGGAGGAGGAGGAGGAGGAGGAGGAGGAGGAGGAGGAGGAGGAGGAGGAGGAGGAGAGGAGGAGGAGGAGGAGGAGGAGGAGGAGGAGGAGGAGGAGGAGGGAGGAGGGAGGAGGAGGAGGAGGGCCCTGCGCCGAGGCGGCCCGCCTCTGCCCCGCCGGGGACCCTCGCGGCGGGCGGCGCCCTGCGCCCGCCCTTCGCCCCCGCGCGCGCTACCGCAGGAGACGTCCGAGGCGCAGGCGCAGGCGCCCTCGCGGGCGTCTTCGCCGCCGGGCGCTCGCAGCGGAAGGGGGCAGGCAGAGGTCGTACACCTTAGGCGATGCTTAAGAAAACCTAAGCTTTCGGCCAGAGTCTCGATTATTCTTAACGTTTCAATGTAATTCCTAAGATTTGAATGGAAATTGTGGGTTTTTATTCAAGTTCTGAGACTATGAATTTCTTAACCCATGATTTCTTAAGCATTTCGCAGGGTGTACAGTCGGGGCGCTGAAGAAGGAACCCTTTCCGTTGGGGAGGGGCTCTGTGTTCCTTGATTGTTCCAAAGTTTGCCTCGGGTTTTCCTGAGGTTTTCCATGGGAAATCGAGGTTGAACTTATGGGAAGAAGGGGTCTCGTTCCTTCTTCAAGGTTCTTTCGGTCGACGCCTCGACTGTAGGCCACGGAAGTTGCCGCTCGTCGTGGATTGGATGCGTGTCGGCGATTTCGTGGGCCGTTTTGGTTTCGGCTTCGTTTGGCGGTCAAGGCGGATTCGAGACAAGCGCGAGGGAAAACGGCAACACCTCGAAAACGGAAAGCACCGTTTAGGTTCAGCCCTGTCGGCGAAGAACGCCCAACAGCGTGCATTAGCGCCCCAAAGCGCCCAGTAGCGCCGAAGAGTGTTCAAGTGGCTCCCAACGGCGACCAGCAACGTCCCACAGAACCATGGGGGGGATGCATTCTGTCCGCTTTGCGTGCGGTTGGGCGCTCCGGTGAGCGCCACGGGGACGACCAAAAGCTTCCGTGAGTTGCATGAAGCGGTAGGCAGAGATCGCTGTGAGGCGAACGGTTCCGAGGCGGGGATGTATCCACAACCACCGCCCGGAAACTGTTTTCGCAGGCGATTTCTCTCCCCCAATCCCCGACTTCCGCCAGAAAAGATTGGTCGCCCAGAAAAGGGGAGGAATCTTGGGATACATCCCGAGGGGGCTATTCGGACGCACCCCTGTCGAGGATGGACGCCCCCCCCCTCGTATATCCCAGGGTTGGGCCCCAAATTGTTGATCCTCTCGAAAACCTCACGGAGCCTGGGATAGGGGTCGACGCATCCCCTGTTATGTTTCGTCGGGCACCTCGGCAGGCGGTGGCGATGTAGGTAAATCGGGCCGGAGGGTGGGCCAGATGTGTCCACGGTGTCCATCGCTTGCAGAGGTCCCCGAGGAGCGGCCCCCCAGGCGGTGGTGGTGGTGGACGACGACGACGACGACGACGACGACGACGACGACGACGACGACGACGACGACGACGACGACGAGACGACCTGGGCCGCCGCCGCGTCGCGGCGCGACGCGGCACGCAGAGCCCGCCTCGGCGGGGGAGAGCCAGAGCCCCCGGGGTCCGGGGCCCCGGGCACCGCTCGGGCGTCGCGCGCCTCTGTCGAGCGTCGGGCGATCACGACACATGCACTCCAGATTTCGTCATAAAAGGGAGGGGGTCTGGGCCCTCCAAGACAAGCCATTTCAGACCTCCCCCGTGGGAGGACCCTCCAGAACATCGTCCCCAGACCCCCCCGGGCCCTCCGAGATAGCCTGGAAGAGACCCCCCTCGAAATGAGACCCCCCTCCCTTTATTACGAAATCTGGAGTATCAAGGGGGCGTGGACTAGCGCCGGGTCCCGTTTCCATGGGAAGTCGCGGAGTTCCGCCGCCGAGCGGGGCGGCACCGGCCGCACTTTGGGGAGGGCACCTCCCCTGATCCATGGAGTTGGCGACCGCGCGCCAGAATCCATGGATCGCCAACCCATGTTTGCGTCGTTCTTAGAGCAGTTGTTCTAAGAACATGTCGTGGTAGGCCTATAGAAATGCGGGGACGGTCGGCCCCTGCTCGATGTTCTTTCCTCTGCGATGGCCATCGAGGAGCATCTTGGATCCTCTTGCGAAAAACAAGCTCAGAGAAGGAAAAGGTTCCCATGTTTCCCCTTTGTGGGCCTGCTGGGCCTCCGTCTTCGACGCCGCTGTATTCGCCTCGAAATCCTGGTCAGAACTCCCCCCAGGCGAGATCCAGGGAGTATCGGTATTGGTACCTTTGGGGTCTCCACATGCGCACGAAGCCGAAACATGCTCGGGGAATGGACGTCCCAGCGATGGCAGGGGCCCGTCCTCGTCAGGGTCCCTTCCCCTCTGGTGCCGGGGCGGCAGGCCGGCTGGGCCCGCGGCACGCGAGGGGAGGCTGCGAGCGGAGGGGGAGGGCGAGGAAGGCCCGCGCGCCGTGGGCAGCGCTCTCGCGAGAGCTCGCCTGTGGAGAGCGGGCCTGTGCAGCTGCGCCCTGGCTCAGTATCGTTTATCCGATCCCCATCCCCATCCCCATCCCCTTCGAGACCCCCACCAAATTACCACCCCAGTTGGGGATACACCCCTCGAAACCCGAAGGGGACGACCTATATCCCCATCTAGGGGGGTAAATCGGCCAGTGGGACCCAGGCCACGCCGCTGGGGATGGGGATCGGTTGAACGATACTCACTGGCGGGAGCCAGCTCCACCGAGGGCCTCCCTCTGGGGGCGCGCCGGGGCTCACGCCACGGCCGCCGCTGCCGCACCGCACGGTCACGGCCGGCACGCCGCGCCCTTCAAGAATCAGGAGGAAAAGAAACACACAGACACAATTAATCCTCGATTCCCTAGAAAATATGGGAAAATATGGGAAATGGGGGGGAAGACAGAAACCCAGAAAATATGGGAAAATATGGGGAATCTTTTTATTTGTGTGTATTTATTTGTGTGTCCTGGGGCCCCTTCAAACAAGGTCACTCCTGCCCGGGGGTCCCTCGTGCGCGCAGCCGAGGGGCCGTCCGGGAGTTCCCCGCGTGGCCCCTGGGATCCGATGTTGACGTTTCCCAGGGTTCCGTCAGCGCACGTGCCTCGGGCCATGATTTGCTACCCCCCCCTGTGGGGCTCCCCCTGTGGGGCACCCCCGATCCGGGCCCCCCTGCCCCGTAAAAGTTGCCGAGCACGTCCCAGACTCGGGGGTGCAATGAGGGGGGCTTGGTTCGAGGTGGGGGCTGGTAAAGTCACGATTCGCGCCGGCGCCGTCTGGGAATTTGCTTTCCCTCTACCGGAGGAATATTCAAAGATAGTGAAAAATAGTCAGGGGACGGTTTTTCTAGTATTTGTTGGCTATTTTTGAGTATTTCTTAAAACTATGTTTTGAGTATTTTCTATCTTTCCTCCAAAGTCCGCCTGTAGGGGGACATGCCCGACCTAAACTTAGCTACCCCCAGCAGCTCCAAGAAGGCGCCGGCGCGAACCAGGACGTTTCCAGGTGGGAGGGCGAGTGGGCGAGCAGCCCAGCGGTGGCCGCCATCGCGGATGGCAACAAAAACGCGATCTCGGGGAGCGGGCCCAGCTTGAGGCTGCTGTTTCCCTCCTCCATGTGCCATGCAGAGCGGAGTTCCTCTGACCCAGCCTCTGGCCCCACCCTACCTTTACTCGGAGGTTGATGGGCCTCCTACCCTGACATGTCGATTAGCGCGAATTGGCCGTGTTTGGTTCGCGAGAGGGCGTCGCGGCCGTCGTTTTTGCGGGTCCAGGACCGTCGGTTTCGTTCCTGGGCCGTTTTCACTAAAGGGTGGTTTGCTAAAGGGAGGTTTGTCCACTGCCGATTTACGCCCTCCCAGCAAGCGCCTGGACACCTCGGGTATGAGTCCGCCCACGAGTCAAGTAGGGGATCGACAACCGAGCTTGTTTTCCCAAACATTGAATTGCTCTTCGAACTCGTGAAACACGTGCAATTATTGCCGAATCTACGACAAGTTATACGTTTTTTTATTCGTAAATCAATTAAGTAGTCGATCCCCTACTCGAACAAGATGCGCGCGAGCAGCGCCGGGTGCCTGGCTCTCCCAGGGAGGCGCGCGCGAGAGCGCGCGCGCGGGGGCCTTCAAGGGCCGTCGAGGGCCGTCGAGGGCCGCCGAGGGCCGCCGTGGGCCGCGCGCGCAATGCGCGCCGCCAGATGCGCAAGCGCCGCGTGGGCGCCGCTGGCATCCTGAGGAAGGCAGCCGGGAATCTGGACCTGGAGACGGAGCGCGGCGGCCCGCAGGGCCGTGTCTGCCGCCGGCAGGGGTGCGGGCTGGCGCCTGGTGTGCCCAGCGACCTTCGTCGCTCCGTCCCTCCTCCTCCTTCTCCTTCTCCTCCTCCTCCTCCTCCTCCTCCTCCTCCTCCTCCCCTTCTTCTTCTTCTTCTTCTCGACGTTCGTTGTCGCATGCCCTGTAGTCCTATAGTCCTCCCCTTCTCTTTCTCTTCCTCTCCTCCTCCTCCTCCTCCTCCTCCTCCTCCTCTCCTCTTCTCCTCCTCATCTTCTCCTCCTCCTCCACCACCACCGCCACCACCCACCCACCCACCCACCCACCCGCCGCCCGCCCCCCGCCCCCCCACCCCCACACCACCACCACCATCACCACCACCACCACCCACCACCACCACCACCACCACCACCACCATCACCACCACCACCACCACACACCCACCACCACCTCACCACCTCCACCCACCACCACCACCACCACCGCCACCGCCACCACCACCACCACCACTACCACCACCACACCACCACTACCACCACCACCACCACACCATCACCACCACACATCATCACCACCACCACGACACCACCACCACACTACCACCACCACCACTACCACCACCACCACATCACCACCACCACACATCACCACCGCCGCCCGCGCCGCCGCCGCCGCCGCCGCCGCCGCCACCACGCCACCACCACCCCCACCACCACACACCACTCCACTCACTCCAACTCCACTCAACCACCACCACCACCACCACCACCACCGCCGCCGCCGCCGCCGCCGCCGCCGCCGCCGCCGCCGCCGCCGCCGCCGCCGCCGCGCCGCCACCACCACCACCACCACACCACCACCACACTCCAACTCCACCATCTCAACCACCAACCACCACCACCACACCACCACCACCACCACCAACACCCACCACCACCACCACCTGCACCACCACCTCCTCCTCCACCTCTACGTCTACCTCTACGTCCACCTTCTCCTCCTCCTCCTTCTCCTTCACCTTCTCCACCACCTCCTCCTCCTCCTCTTCCCCCCCTCCCCTCCTCCTCTCCTCCTCCTGCTCCTCCTCCTCCTCCTCCTCTTCCCCCCCTCCCCTCTTCGTCCTTCTCCTCCTCGTTCTCTTCCTCCTCCTTCTCCTCCCCTTTCCTTCCCTCGGCTCCTTCTCCTCCTCCTCCTCCTCCTCCTCCTCTGCTCCGATCCCAGTATGCCCCCGACGGGAGATTACCTGGTGTAATCGGTTGTCCAGAGTGTACTGGAGGGGTTGTCGCCCGGTTCCAGGACCCCCCCCCTTGAGGGGAACTTGGTGGCATCGGGACCCTTCGACCCTAGGAAGCCCCGTTGCGGGGAACACCTGGTGGTATCGAGGGGTGCGACGGGAGAGGCAGCGACGGAGAAGCCCACAGGCCGAGCGCGGTCCGTCGCAGCACCATGGACGAGGACTGTGACCCTTTCGACCAAGTTGGTGAGACTTTCCACGGAGCTCGCTCCCGATTCCCCCGAATTTGGAGGATCACGCCAAGCTGGACACTGACGGCGGAGTTGGCAAGGTGGCCAATCATGAAGTTCAGTGTGTTCAGTCTGAGCCGGTAATTTCTCGCGGCCAGTTTGAGGTTGGCAGTTCTGGCGCCATATTCGTGGACGGCAATATCACGCAGTGGGGGCCTGAGGTACCTCGCTTTCTAAACAATTGCGGGTTTCAGGTGGCGGTGTTCGTTGAGACCCATGTCGTCAGTGATGCAGAACCCCTTCCATCGCGGGACTGACGGGATGTGCCTCGACACAGCGAAGTTCAGCGAAAGCACCGCGCGGGTGGCCAGCGACGTGAAGGTGCACTTCCTTGACGGCCTCGGGCGGCTCCGTCCTCTGGGCCGTGCAGGTGAGGAAGACCGAGACCGCAGTTTCTGGGGAAGCTGCCATTATCTCACACCGACTTGATGATCCACTTTTTGGTGGATGGAACAAAGCATGTTCTCACAGCCCTTTGCGGGGAACCTGCATGTGACGACACAGCGCTAGCTTGTGGCGCTGGAGGCCATCGTGCAAGACTTGGCGGCCCACGTCCAGGGGATGCGTTCGCCTTCAGCTGACCTACCACCTCGCACACGTTCTACCTTCTTACCACAAGGGACGCAGACGTGAATCACGTCTTCTTGTCCGTCTCAAGCGCAAGCTCCACCAGGCGGACCAGCAAACGGATCCGCCAACTCACAACGAGCTTGTGGCCATCCTCGCCTGCCTCTTTGGAGATTCTGCCCGCAAATCTTCAAAGACGACGGCTGACACGGCTACAACTCCATAGTTGCTTATGCAGTCATAGCATATCCACTTTTTGCCACGCCCATGGGGGTCAGCTCCAGTGTGGCAAGCGGCGCACGTCCAAGACAAGGAATACGACGCGCACAATCCTGCAGCCATCTCCTGTCAGAACCTCAACGATTTCGTCATGGTGACCGAGTGGCTCTAGGCGAGAGGCCAGGGGATATCGGCGACATACAGTTTCTGGAATGACAATTACATCATTGACGGATGGAAAAAGATGGAAGTACCAGTCGGGGGGTGTGAACGGCGGTGTCTCGCACATCTCGGGCCAAGCACGCTATGCAGGATCGGCTCCGCTTCGGCGAGTTGGTCTTCCGGCTGGGGTCGCCGACGGCACTCCAATATCTACCTTTGCGGAGAAGCCTGCCGGTTTTCGCCTCACCGCCACGCGTGGCTTTGCTGAAGGCTGGCTTCGTCAACAGTCGAGCGACAATCCAGTGGCTCTGCTGGCTCTTGTGCCTGAACGCAGACTTGGTCAATCCCGTGCTGAAGACCAAGGGGGGCTGTGGCACTCGAGTCGGAATTTGCGGCTATCCCCATTTCCGCAGCAGCCCATGCGCAACATGTTCTGTGATTCCCTTTTCCAGTTGGCTTTTTCTCGAGCGAAAGGGCGCCCAACTAGTCCCTGTGTGGCATCGCCTTCGCGATGATGACGACCCCCCCCCCGCGTACTGCCGCAAGCTGCAGGCTGTTGCCAAGCCTGCCGATCGAAGGTTGGTGTGCGCGCCTAATTGCGATAGTCCATGGGGATTATGTCTGCGACGGTGGTAGCTGCTGACGTTGAGCCGCGATGCATCTTGCAGAGAGCGCCTGCGACGTGGGCTCCATTCGAACTGCCAGTTCTTTCCTCTCCAGCGGATGGTGATTTTTACTGCGCTGCTGTGTTGGGAAGCATCTCTGCGGCGACTGCAATTGATCAGACCCGCCTCCGGAGGAGCGCTTCCGAGCAATCGTCAGATGTCTGGGAGTATGACGCACCCATGTGCAAGGGTCCATCGCCGTCGCTGTCTATGACCGCCGACGAGATCGGGGCGCAGTGGAAGGGCTATTGTGGCCAACCAACATAAGACGACCCCAACTTCCTGCAAGTTTGGCGCTTCCGTGCAAGTGCCGTGGAGTTCCCGGGGGTAACCGCGACCCGCGGATAATAAAGCACACCCCGTCAACCCTTGTATCTGTTCGTCGTCGGGGTCGAATGCGGTTCAATTGCCGCGGCAGACTGCCGGGCCGGACTTTATCGTCCCTTCCAAAGGTCTTGTCGTAGCTTTGATCTTCATCTCATTCATAGCACCATCCATGAATAATCCGTATCATGGTTTTTGCGAAGATGTTTCAGGCGAGGCGTGCAGTTCCAGAGATCCTCCGAATTCGCTACCATCAGTTTTCCGATGATGTCTCAAGCAAACTTTTTTGGCAAGAGGCGTTCTCGCGAACGAGTCATGCTTGAGAACATCCCAGGCGAAGCTATCAAGTTTTCGAGCTCCCCCTTCCCTGTTCCCGTCCCCGCAGACATTCTAACGTCGACATGTCTGGGAACTTGTTCACTGGTTCATCATCTCACTTGGGCCCCGAACTGTATCATCCCCTGGGTTTCCCTCGCGGGCATAGGGTTAGCGAGTCTTCCGATTGTGGCCCGTCCTTCGAGGAGTTCGCCGAGTCCATCAAGACAGCGACGGGATGCCCAGGCCTGGGCGCCTGGGCGTTCAGGGAGCTTCGTGCCCTGCATAGGTCCTTCCCTGCCATTTTGCGCGAAATCTGTGCGACGCGTGGGTTCTCGCTGCTCGTGGAGCTGTCGTCCCCTGGCCCCCAGTATCGCGTGTTCTGTTGGGGGGTGGCCCGCGCGCCAAAGGGCGAGAACGGCGCCAGACCGATCGGCGTTGGCTCCGTTCCCTTGCGAACTTGGCCGCGTTCGCTGGCATCAGATGCGCCTGGGGCTCCTGGTAACCAGTGGGCCAGCGGGAAGGGGATCTCGGTTCCTCGCGCTGTGTCAGCGTGGCAGCGGGGCTATGCTGGCGGGGCCGACGGTGCCGATCTGAACATGTCGAAATCGCGGGAAAACGTTTCCCACGTTATCGCATGGGAGAATTTCGACAAGTCTGAGATGCCAGATGCAGTTAGGTTTGCGTGCCCGGCTGGCTGGTCCGGGCCAGGGGTTTGCCCTGTTCATGGCGCGCCCGCCGACCATGTCGATCCTGCTTGTGGGCCCCCGAAGGGGCGATTGGATGTCGCCCGCCATTGTGGCCGCCGCTCTAACGCAATGCCGGCCGATGTGCAAGGGCTAATGCTTAATGGGCGACAGGTCCCTAGTTGCCTTGGGCCCCGACCATCTTCAGGGCGAGCTTAAAGCTGCAGCTCGCTTCGATGCTTCTTGGGCGTCGCTGGGTCGCTGGGGCGTCGCCAGATGACCGGCGCGGTCGGGCCCTGGCGACGATGACAGGCTACTCGAGCGCACCTCGGGGTCTTGGCCGCCCCCAGCAGCGCCATCCATTCCATCGTCCCGATGGGGGGGGGGGCTGGGATGAGCTCAAGTGCGCTATCGGCATCCTGGCATCGGTGCCAGGGTCGAACCTAGTGCGACTACGACTGGGATGTGCCTGCGCGCGGCCGCTCCGGCCCTGGGCAAGCCCAATCGTCGTGCCTCCTCATGAGAAGCTGAAGTGGA